CCCCCCCCCCCCCCCCCCCCCCCCCACTTCATCATATAATTCAAGAACTTGCTTAAATTGAAGGGGGGAGATGGTGGGTTGATCTGGGGAAAAAAGCGATTGAGATTTTGAATTCTGTGAGCTGGAGGGATCGGTGAAAGAGTATCATCCCTTCAGTGGCACGTGGTGTTATTACTGTTATGAACAAAACCATGGAGGTGATCAGGCTCAGGCTGGGCCTTGCACACACTCCTGTGTACTTTTGTTAATGGTCTTGAATGAAACTTAAATAAACGTTTTACGGAACATTAATGTATGTTGTCTCTTCATTTGATTTTGCTGTGTACTTTTAAGTCTGATTTTTAGAATTGTGAATTTCAGTGTTTTCCGGTTAGGAACATAGTCCCATTTCCCCTTTTCAGTACATTTATTGGCCTTGGTGCAAGAAATGAAAAAAAGAGTGCATTGAATCCCCATAATCTAATGGAAATACACTTAACAAAACGTGAACATTTCAATACAGTTAAAGATTTACCCTGTACCTCGATGTTCATTTGCCCCATTGCATTTAGAGAAGAACTGATGCTAATTGTGCAGAGTCCCCAGAAATCAAACTTTTTATTATGACTTTTTAAGGGGACTTAACTTTATGCAGTTAAATGGTAACTTAATGGTAAAGAGCACTAGGTCTACTGAAGTAAAAGAAAATCCTGACTACAAGAAACCCCCCACCCTTCTTCAGACCCTTGTGCTACTCGGATACATTGTGACTTCTGAGCAGCGAAACATGGCATTTCTCACCCAACGCTCACGAAGTTGTTCTGGTGCACTGGGTCCTGTGTGCATGTTTTGACATCTCAAAATTTGTCCCAAGGATAGACAGGGCTCTCCAATGGGAGTCAGCATTGTGTTTCTCCCAGTCCTGTTCCCTGCTTGCAAAAGCTTCTCCTCTTCCTCTTGAAAACCCCCTCTGATTGGTGAATCAGAGTACAGAGTACCTGAATCCTCACCCTGTGCAACAGCAAAGTTAAGGTTCTGGCCTTCCCCCAGGCCGCGAAGTCGGAATTTGTATTCTTCTAGCCTTGCCTTGCATTCCGAAGCCTTCCGCTTCATCTCCAAAAACTGCTGCTGCAGGTCTTGTCCATAGGCCTCCTCTGCTCTCAGTTCATTCTCCCAGTGCTGAATGAATTCTTGCTCCTTCTCCGATTGATGTTCCTCCTCCAACTTATTAATCTGAGCCTCAACTGCGTCAATTTGCGCCTGCAGTTCATGAAGACGGGTCTGCTGGCAAACCAACAGCGTTCGCAATGCATCCTGTTCCTCATTCACTTTATGAGTAAGGAACTGCATGCTCTTCATGTCTTCATTCTTGTCTAAACCCTTTGCCCTACTGTCAGGCTCACAAAGGAGACTCTCCCTCTTCTGATGTGTGGTAACTGTAGGGAATTTACGGCTTCCTCTTTCTGTGGAGGAGAACAGCCCAGAGTCAACTTCAGGAGACTGACGGCTCTCTGTCTTCTCAGTATCCAAACCCTTTTCTTTCTCCTGTATCCCCTGGAACCTCCCATTCCAGCCCAGGCTCTCCAGCCAGCCCCTTGCTTCCTCCACCAGTGTAAAAGATTTGCGTTTTTGCCCCTTGACCTCAGCAGTGTGAGGAGGCTCTGCGTCTAACCTTAGACGAGACAAAGGTGGCAGGCTTTGGCGATGTGCAGAAGCAGCTCTTCTTGCTGCCCGGTGTTTGCTTCCCACCTCCGACTTCCTTAGAGGAGGCCCAGCACTAGAGAGCCCATTGTCCTCCACTGTCGAAGGCCCAAGATGCTGCAGGGTGAGCTGTACCTCCCTAGCTTGCTGACCGTACTTTTCCAGAGATTCTAGGAGGTGCTCACTGGGGGTCATGCTGCGCTCATACTCCTTGAATTTTTCCTTTAGTGAGTACCGACCTGGACGTCCTACAGTAAATACAAAAGTAGTCCATTATGAAAATTCATAACACTTAGGTTTACATAATTTACATATAGGAAGTTACAAGGGCAATATTCAACAGATGAGATAAGGAACATGATAACTTACCCAGGGCTTGGGCCAGAGCTATGACTACTTCCTGGCATGTGGTTTTCTTTGTGACTCCGCAGACGATACGCTGGACACCGTCAACAGACACCTTAAGCTCCATCCTTGTAGGCTAACAAGGAGAGATATGACTGTTACACATCAATTATGTGCTAATTAACAGATAAAATACTGCTCATAGCCAGCCTTTGTTTTTGTGGACATAAGTTTTAAACTAAGGACAATTTTTTCTACATGGTACCTTTGATTGTTTCCTTACCAGAAGAACAAAATATTCTCATTGATGACTATACAATATTATCTCTGACACATACAGTGCTCACAGAAAGTCTTGGAATGCTTGCTTATTTCTGTAAAAAATGTTAACTGACAAGCAATGTTAAACATATCTTCCATACAGACATTTTCTTATTAAGTGTCATTGTTTTTTGACTGATTAATTGTTTCTAACGTCATATATCAGGGTTGGGGCCATTCCAGAATGCATCATCAATTCCAGTCCAAATCAGGAAATAGAACTGGAGTTGGGATGTAAATCTCCTTGAAATTCGAATTCATTTCCAATTCTGTTCTCCATAATTTTTTTTCCGATCCCAACTCCAGTTCCATTTTCTGGACTGGAATTGATGAGTGCATTCCAGAATGGCCCCAACCCTGTCATATATATTTTTGTAAACGAATCAAATAATGTTTTTAATGTTAAGTAATGTTTTTATTGAATTAAGTGCCCTAAGACTTTGTGTGTACTGTATTTAACAACAAATGAAGACATCTAAATAGTGTTATGCAAAACACTATGTTAAGAAACGTACACACATTCAATACAATTTTATTTGTACAGCACATTTTCACATTACATTGTCTCAAAGTGCTTCACATTATCCCTGCCCAAAGCCCCAAGAGACCAAGGAGGAGATGACAGGGACAAGTAAGAACTCTCTAGTAGGAAGAAAGCTTGGGAACCTCAAAGGGGAGCCCATTCACCTTGGGTGGGCAGAGGAGCAATTTTACATTTCTAGATACCAGGTCTATATATATAATTTGTTTATTTAGCGAAGTATTATCTTTCCCTGCAATTATACTCTATCAGAAGGAAATGACTAAGACATCCAGAAATTACTTGTGGGTATTTACTTCAATTAGGGCTTATCAGTCAGACGTCCCCTTTCCTTCATTTTCCCCTAAAACAGCATCTCAGAGCCTCATCTTCTGTCTCGTGGCTCTCAGCACACTGTGTTTCATCCACTTATGGTACTTCTAGCAAAAGAACAATCTTTTGTAATGACACTCAAGCTGTGGGTGATTTTTGCAGGGTATTAAACGAATCTTTGATTAAAGATTGAGCAGAGTTACACACTCCTGGCAATTAATTAATGAAGGCAATTCATATCAATAAACTACACCATTGTAGCCTTTACGGAGCGATGACTGTTTCCTCTATTTCTTTCTACGGATTATTCCTATAATCTTCGTTTTATACATCCTTAGTTTCATCTCAAATGAAATGGTTTTAAAATAAAAGTTATTTAAGAAATGCTTTGTTTCCAGTAATTGGGCTATAATGGAAAGATCAATCCTTTACAATATCTTCTGTCCATCCATCCATTTTCTAAATGCCTATGCTGGTACAGGTCACAGAACATTACACCTTCGGTTCATTTTAATTCATACATAATTCCCTTTAATTTCATTTCATGCATAATAACTTAAACTCCTACCCCAGAGTCCCTTGATGTGCACTCTTGCTCCGTGCGGATGCGTATCCAGACGTTATAGGAAGCGTGAGTTAGTGGGTCTGACCTGTGAAGAACTGTTTGGCGAGCAAGAATATTTTTATATCTCAAGGTCCCGTTAAATATTGTGGAAAGTTTCGGGGACCCACCCAACTACTCGAGAACCGCCCGAATTGGGACGGACAATAGCCTCTCAGGGAGTGACAGGCACCGACCGTTGGGGGTAGCGATCCTGTCCGAGATGTGCTTTTCAATTTCCAAACGTTTGCATCCTGTTTATGTTGGCTCCCATGATTGTTGGTAATTGTGGTAAATTTAATACCTTTATTGACACCTATAGTTTGGATAACTTACCTATGCCGACGGCAGCGATGCCAACTTTGGTCAGCTGGTTGGAGTAAGTACACACATGCACACACATTTACATGCATGTACCAGTTTTAGTGCCTTGTAAATAGTCTGTAGGGTTTGCAAACTACCCCCAGCATCTGCATGGTGGAATAGCTTTGCTGTAAGATTTCTTGTATGAGCGTGAGAATCTGAAAGCATCTGTCACGCCAGATGCATGTGTTGGCGACCCTGCGACGGCCAAAGCAGCCTATATAAATCTACATTTCACCCAGAGCCACGGATGGCTCACGTACACTCGTATCATGCACTATGCGTCAGATATCCGCGGTTTACCGTGGCCCGAAAATATTAGAGGGTGACTGCACAATGAGCTATGATAATTTATAAGAAATAAAATTCCACACTGTTAAAATGTTGTGTGCAAAATCCTACATTGTTCCATCTTCCGTTGAGAGTTAAACAAAAATACAAAACAAAAAATTCAACAGAAAGCTAGACATACCATTTATTACAGAATGTTGTTATCTTTTATTATCAGTTATTGTATATGCTTTATTGTAATTTATAAATTGAACTTTATCATAGGTATGAATGTACATGAAAAACAAGTTATGTATGTTCGGTACAATCTGTGGTATCCAGTATAACAACTAGACCTATTTACATAGCATATACACGGTATTGTATAATAGAGAATGTGCGTAAGTCATATGCAAATACTGCATCATATAAGCGACTAGAGCAAACCCCCCGTGTTCGCCTTTGACACATTAGGCGGCGATATTCTGCATTATAAGTTACCAGAAACTGGTGTAAGTGTTATCGTCCTGATGACCGTTTGAAACGTCCATTTCTCACCGAATCTATAGTTTACAAGTCGCGATTCCCACTTTGTTACGTGAGAAAGTCAACCGAGAGTAAGTCGATCTGCAGTGTAACTTTACTTGAATTTTGGTCTTGGTCTTCTGCATTTGCCATATTTGCTGTTTCTTACCTATCTAAATAAATTACAGCAACATTAACCGGGTCACATTTTCATTTAAATAATGCTTTTCAACAAAATTATTAAATTTGTCCCGATTAGATATATACATTGTGTGGTTAAAACATATATTTAAGAAATGGTTAACCTGTCAAACACAAAAGAGAATGTACTCTACCAGTAATACCCACGTAGAAAACTAATTCGGGTATTTCCTAGTTTTTTAGTAATACGATTTGAATCTGAATGTGCCTGTTCACACGTCTTTGCCTCAGAACCACAAGGGAGGGGAACAGCGATGGGTATCGGTGCGGAACATCAGCCTGTACTGAAAAAAGTCCTTGTTTCAAGATATCCCAGACAGGCTACAGTCATAAAATATTATCACATGTAAAACTAATTTCCCTGGTTGTGACACATTAAATGAAAATTATTAAAAATATATAATATTGGTTTATAATGATATAAATTATTTTTAATCCGGTAATTCCTGGAATGTAAATCCTGATATTTAACATCTAAATGTATGTTTGGATTATGAAATATGGAGTTTAGTCATCTCTGGTTTTAATTTAAAACGAGGATAAATGACAAAAAAAAACAGGCATGATAGTAGACGATTATAAAATAGGGTCCTGACAACGTATAAGTCTGGGTGTGTCTGTCTGAGCCGCTCTGAGCGTTTTCTGAATTTCACAACTGATTTGGGATCAGTTACCTTTTATGAACCCATCGTCGATTATGATGAATTAAATTATCGCTCTGATTCAGGATCGGTTAGAGAAGTTATAATGTTCTCGTAATGAGACAGGAAGTTTAGCTCAAAAACTGTTGATTGTCGTTGGTAATTAATACTTTTAAAAATTAAGTGCAATCATTTTGAAATGCTAATTTACGGTCTGCCTTTTTCGTATGATTTAGTGTAGTTTGGTTCTAATCCATACGTCACTGCAATTCTGGCAAAGATTCGGATTGTAAATCCGAGGCTAAAAGGTAAGTTTCTTTAAAAATCTGTAATCGGTTCGTATGATTTGTATGATTCCTGAGTTAAATACACACACGCCTTAATACTGATAAGTTCACACATGCAGGGGTGTATCCTATCTGTCTACCGATACACTGCAGCTATGTAGTTTAGCCACTTTGCCATTTATACCAATCTCTGACCTACAGTATTACTGGTCTGTTGCCTAATTTGGTCGCGGCGTACATTCATTTTAACTTGACATTTCAGCTATTCGTTTTAGTGTACGTGTACGTTTGTATTTTATCCAGAATATGTAGAAAACGAACAATGAAATACGATTATAGCAAGCATGTTTTCCTAAATTAGCTTTTACAAACTTCGGTATAATTTCTAAACGTCTTTATGACATGTTACTACCAACGACTTAAAATATTAGCATAGCTATCCGTATATAATGGGGTGGTATAGCAGCATAAGCTATGATGGTGGCCTTTTCTGTCCTGATCTTTCTGAGCAGACTGCTTCTTTAGAGCCAGGGCTGAGCTGTAAAGTCATGGTACGACTGATATGTGTTAGTTACACTTGATCAGCAATGCAGTCGAGTAAACTGGAGGCCTTTTAGGGTGTTTGTTTCTACCGTTAAAAATGCAAAAGGAAACTACGTGTTTAAAATAGCAGTTTATTGGTAATTAGGTACTTTTGTTGCTTTAGTTTCTTAAACTGCTAAGACTAAACCATACAGGATATGTAGACATAGTAACATAATCATTACTCAGTGTGACAGGGGTATTAGACCAAATCTGTTATATACATGTATCGTCAGTTTGGCATGTCCCATATATTTCCTGATATTCAACATGATGAATGGAGAAGCATTAGCTTTTGGAAAAAATTAACTTACATTTGAGGTGGGGAAACAATGACTGCTAAATCTTTTCTTCTCAGCAAGAGCCACTTGAGGAATTTTATTTTATTCAGCTCTACCTGTATAAAATAAAGGTAACACTGAGATCAGGCTTATGTAATTACCAGAAGCCAGTGTGCACATGTTCTGATGGTTAACAAAATCATCACGATGAAAGATGTCCCACTATGCAGTAGAGCTGTAACGGTTCACATATTTGTCTTGTACTGTTTGCTACATTATTTTCAGTCCAGTACACACAGTAGCTGTGTCCCAATTTTGGGACTGCGTCCTTTGAAGGACCCGGTTCAGCATAGACTTTATAGCAGGGCTGTTGAACTCTGGACCTTGTTTCCAAATCCAGGCCTTGTTTTCAGTTCCCCCAGGTAGTTAGTTTAATAATTGCTGATTCTGATTGGCCAGAGGCTTCACACCTGGCTCACAGGTGAAGGAAGGGTGGAAAACCAGCAGGGCTGGTAACTTGAGGACCGTGAGTTGAATAGCCCTCTTTTATAGACAGCATCATCCTAAAAATCCACACAATGAATCTTTGCATTGGTTGGAGCGTGAAGGATCCATCGGGTGGGTCCTATACGGCTGGGGAAAAGAAGGATGCATTTTCAGGCCGCATTTGAAGGATCCTTCGATATTGGGCAGCATTTGTGACACACCTCTATGCATTTGGTCTTTTAATGCAGTCTTTGAAAGCTGCAGCACCTGAAATGGGACACAACTAATGAAACCAATGAATACATTTATTTAAACATGTGGAGCCTAAATTCTAATCTAGATGGTCAACATGGAAAGATTATGGTAATTGTGACTGTGAGTTGGTTACGGCTAATCCTGGTTACAGGCAGTCGTAATCAGCGGTTTGGGAACATTTTGGTTTCCCAGGTAAGTACACAAGCACTGGATAGAGTGTCGTTGATAAGACCAAGACTGCTTGCATTTCGGTAACAGAGCCGATAGACAAACATGCTAATTCATTTGAGACAACATCCAAATGTGTGTACGATTGGAGTGGGGCAGCAACAGCCCCTGTAGTTTGTCTCCCCATATCATTTCCAGGCGCTTTTGCCAGGAAATATAGATTGGCCTGAAAAATAACTATAGCTATAAGGGTGTCTTCACATATCTTTCGTTAAATTAACCAAACACAGTCTTCTTTTAGTGGACCAGAAAGTAGGCCAAGAGAAAGAGAAGTCAATTCTCTTTGGATTCTCATTGTCCATCACCTTCCAAAAGAACTCTTGGCTTTCTGGTGCACTTCAGTTTTTATGTGGTATCCGTGCTTTTCACATTCACACTTGGTCCTTTTGGACACTGAACTGATCACGAGAGTAGTATCGTCCTCAACAAAATGTCAAGTTTGTGAGAATGACCAATATGTTTATATTTGTTAAACATATGATGTAGGCCAACAGATTATTTGTTTCCAACTAAAATACTACATGCAAGCAAGTGCAAGGTGGATTTCAAATATTTCAAAAAAGGCTTGATGAACAAAGGGTAATAAGAAAACAGAATGCATTAATTTTTAAGTAGGGTTGTTAAGGGATGTTAATTTGTTTTAGTTACACTCTTTGGGGATTAATGGTATATACCACATGTACATATCAATCGCATGTATACTCAACAAGCGGATCGAAACACTGTTTAATACCGACTGCATGATCAATCTAAAAGATTAAACCTGTTTGGCAAAATTATCTAAAAACAGAAGCGTGACAACTACTGAAAGTACATTTTATAAAATGAAAGATCTTTAGGTATAAGCCTTCAATAAAATAAATCAAATACGGCAAATTATTATATATTTATCCTGTGTACCCCTCTGTCAGGAATTTCTTTTAAAACACAGTAAATCAACTAACATCAGCTTTCCTATGAGACGCTTAGTGAATATTTTGATTTTAGTTTTGAATTCTGGGGTTATGTGCAACATAAACTAAACTCTCACATTGTTTACAACGAGGAAAGAATAATATAGGTCTCCAATAAAATCTGTGTTCATACTATTAAAATAACTGCATGCATTACTGAGAAATTTCCCAGCATTTTAAACAAGTATAATCTACGTAGTGCCACTCATAACATAATAATGCAATTTATATCTATTGTGGCCAAGTTTTAAAATGTCGTGTGAACGATGCAACTCAAAAAGGAAACAAATTCATAAAATGTGCCCACAATTTGACTAGGGAAGGAATTAATAAAATGTGACCACGA